CCCGGGCCGCACGCATGCCAGGCGAGCGCCCTACCACTTGAGCCACATCCCCAGCCCCTCGACTGTTTCTTAACTCTGGCAGCCGCACGTGATTATGGAAGTGGGGCGTGAGGAGGGCCCCCCACCCCTGTTCCTGAGCCCTGGTCTCCTGTCTGTTCCTGTGACATGGACAGATGGCGCTGGGCAAAGAGACCAGGGAGAGGAGCCGGAGGGTCTGTAGGAAGGATGGCTGGGGTGGGGGTGGGAAGGCAGCATTCTAGCCCGGGAGGAGTCACACAGAAGGGCACTTGGAACGTCATGGCATAGACTAGGGAGGTGAGCGACAGACACGTCTTAGCTAGCTAGCTAGCCTCGGTGGTTACCCCTGTATTCATGGACTCCAGAGGCTGAGGCAGGAGGATTGCAAGTTCAAGGCCAGCCAGCAACTTAGTGAGGCCCTAAAGCAACTTAGCAAAGCCTTGTCTCAAAATAACAAAGGGCTGGGGAGGCTGGGTCTGGTGGCACACCTGTAATCTCAGCGGCTTGGGAGGCCGAGGCAGGAGGATCGCAAATTCAAAGCCAGCCTTCGCAAAAGCGAGGCACTAAGCAGCTCAGTGAGACCCTGTCTCTAAATAAAATACACAGTGGGCTGGGGGTGTGCCTTAGGGGCCGAGTGCCCTGAGTTCAATCACTGGTACTAAAAAAGAAGTCATTAATTCAGTATTTAGAAGTCTGTGGGATAGTCACGTGGCTCATGGTTCAACAAGCTTGAAAGAATACACAGGAAAGTCCCTGCCCCAAGCCACCTGGTCCCTTTCTCAGAGGACACTGGCACACGTTTCTGCTCCCAGAGATCTTAGTGGATCTGTGAGCACATGTGAGATGTGTGCTGTGTGAGTGAGGGTGTGCTGTGGGGTGTGGGGTGTGTGCTGTGTGGGCTGTGGGGGGTGTGGGCTGTGGGAGTGTGTGTTGTGGGTTGTGCTGGGGGGGTGTGTTGTGGGGGTGTGTTGTTGGGGTGCTGTGTGGGGGTTGCTGTGTGAGGGTGTGTTGTGTGTTGGGTGGGGTTTGTGTTTGTGGGGTGCAGGTTGTGTGTCAAGTGAACCTGTATGGTGTGTGGCGTGAGGTGTGTGAGCACAGAGCTCAGAGCACACAGACGCACACACGCCTGTTTTCCTCCCGTCCGTTGGCATGTACCTGGTGGAGCGTTGTCCCCACTATCTGGACCTTGAGTCACTCAGCAGCAATGGCTTCGCATCTTTGCCCAGCCCCCTCCAGTCCTCCTTGCTTTTTGGTTGTTGGGGGCAGGGAGTCACCGAGCACCCTGCTGAGCTCTGGGCGGGTGGTGCCTCATACCAGGCCATAGTGCCCTCTGAGACCAAGTGCTGGAGGCCAGCCTGCACGTGGCCCTGGTGGGCAGAGGTTTGGTGAAGGCTGCTGAGTGGCCTCACAGCATGGCTGCGTCCCGAGACGGTTTTGGAAGGAATTGACATACCCATTTTGAAGCGTACAGTCCATGGGGCCTGCCTTTTCTTTGGTGGCTTTAAGGTGTGCCTACATGGTTGGCTTCTCTGCTGGGAGCCAGTTGTGGGGCTCCTCACGTGGGCCCTCCTGCTGTCCACGGTGGTGACCTTGCAGTATTAGCCGCACCTGGGGGCCAGGTGGAGGTGTGGGGAGCTTTGTGCTGGGGATTGAGCCTGGGGCGCTTTACCACTAAGTTGCATCCCCAACTCTTTTTATTTTAATATATATTTTTGTTTTAGGTAGACAAAATGTCTTTATTTTGTTTTTATGTGGTGCTGAGGATCGAACCTGTTGCCTCATGCAGGCTAGGCGAGCGCTCTACCTCTTGAGCCACAACCCCAGCCCCTTTTTTAAGTTGTAAGTCAAGGTCTTGGTAAATTGCTGGGGCTGGCCTCAAGTAGCTGCAGGCTCACAGCAAAATGGAGTGGAAGGTCCGGAGTTCCCAGGTCCCGTCTCCCTCTTGGCCTCCCTCATTGCCAGCAAGCCTGCAAATGTCCTGTAGCTGGCCCCCTGCAGCTCCGCAGGCCACCCTCCCTGCTGGGTAGTGCTCACTTAGGCTCCTCCTTGGCCCAGTAGCTCCTTTCTCTTCAGTGCTGATAAATGCGACTTGTAAAGAACTTTTGGTGCTGTAGCTTGAACCCAGGGGCATCTGGGTTCAAACTTGGGATCCTCCTGAGTTGCTGGAATTGCAGGCATGTGCCTCTGTACCCGGCTAGCAGTACCTCCTTTTGATTCTCACGACTGCCTCAGAAGTAATAGCTCTTGGATTTCCGTTTTACAGATGAGGAGAGTGAGGCCCAGAGAGCCAGTCTGTAGAGCACGCGTGGCCTTTATCCTGAGGACAGAGAGAGCTCTGGAGGCCTCTGAGCAGGAGGGGGCAGTCTGGCCTCCAGGGAGTCAGCTTCTGGCAGGTTCTAGGCCTGCAGGGACAGGAGCCACAGTCGGCTCAGGCCACCAGGTACCTGCACACGGGGTGTCAGTGAGGAGCATAGCCCTGCATTTCCGTCCACTTAAGTGTGAAGTGAGACCCCTGAGGCGGTGCACATGCTCAGGGAAAGGCAGCTGTGAGCTTTGGTTCGTGTACTCCACGCCAGCCTCTGGAAGTGCTGTGTCCAGCAGAGTGGCTTGAGGGTAATGGGCACACCAGGCTGTGGGACAGTGGCAGGAGTGAGGAAGTCGTGCTTCCACCAGCGCCAGCGGGTGAATGGATAGCAAAAGGCAAGTCCACACAGGAAAGGAGGTGAACATGGGCCTGAAAACGTGCTGCGGGACAGAAGGCAGACAGAGGTCACAGTGTGTAGAGTGTCCAGGTTGGGCAGACCACAGAGACGGAAGGGGATGCGTGGGAGACGGAAGGGGATGCGTGGTTGCAGCTTGGGGAGGGGAAATTGGGAATGACTGTTCATGGGGTGGCGTGTTGAAAGTGTTCTGGGTTAGGAGGTGGGCCTGGTGGCACAACCTGGTGAGTCTGCAGGAACCACTGAACTGTAGGCTTTGAAACAGGGAACTGTGTGGGTTAGG